ATATATATACCACATCTTCTTTATCCATTCATCTGTTGGTGGACATTTAGGTTGTTTCCATGTCTTGGCTATTGTAAATAGTGCTGCCATGAACATAGGGGTGTGTGTATCTTTTCAGATTATAGTTTTGTCTGGATATATGCCCAGGAGTGGGATTGCTGGATCATATTGGAGTTGGTATACGTTAACTTAATGCTGTAACTTTGAGCCCTTGGTCAGCAATATAGAAGCAGCTCCCATAGGGCAAGTCCCTTTGGTACCATTTGTGTAACAAAACTCATCTTTGAAATGTAATTAGAGCCAACACTCCCTGAGTGCTCACTAGGTACCATCATGCTAAGCCCCTTATGTGGACCATCTCCTCAGTCATCTCTAAAACGATGTGAAGGTGCTGTTATTTTACCAGGGAAATGACCAGCTCACTGTCCCCCAGCTAAAAAGTGGAGTCAGTATCTGAAGCCAGCCAGGCTCTCCCAGGCTTGTGCTCTCAACGCTCGACGATAACGAGATTGTCGGAACACGATAAAACAACACCAAAACCAGCACATTTTAATCATACATACCCTATTACTTAAAAAATATACCCAATAAGAAATAAGAAATGAAAATGTTGTGTCAATGCTACTTTATTTTTTACACAACTGAATATTCTAGTGAATAGAGAGCAAGGGAATTCTCTTTAAATACTGTTCACAGAAAGAAATTTGATGTTTGTTCAAAACAAATGCTCAGTTGCCTCATCTGATCCAGACTCCCTTTGCCGCTGAATTCTGAAAAGAAAAAAGAAAAATGTACAGGTCAGATTGAATCATTATCAGGATGGAGATGAGGCCCAGGGTCATGTTATTATATAACATATTTAAAAATACCTCAATTTGGCATGTCATAAATGCCCATAATTGGTACTCATAAGATTTGTTGCTGTAACTGATCAGGCCAGGGGACCTCAGGGAACATCTTTCCCAGTTTGGCCAGGGCGGCTATGCTCCGCAGCATCTGGACAGCTCTCTCAGGCACCTTGGGCTGCCAGGGCCCCAGTAGCTGCCAGTTGGTCCAGGGGCTCCAGGAGGAAGGCTGGGATGCCTCTGAAAGACAGTGGCCTCATGTCCCTGGGACCACATCAACATGAGAGACAGAGGAGGCCCAGAGCTGCCCGTGTGCAGGGACTCGAACTGCCACAGGCCAGGAGCCAAGAAATCTCGCCAGATTTCACCTCTGGGTCTCAGAGCATCATTGAATGGAGGGAACAGCCTGGCCTGGTTCTAATCGGAAATGTTCCCACTACAGAGAACTTCTCCCCACCAAGCACGCCAGGGTGGATTTTGCCTCATCACAAGGGCCAGGTGAGAAGTCACAAAAGCTGTGGAGCTCTCACAGCCACTGCTGGAGACAACACACCTGCAAAGAGCTGGCATGAAGCAAAGGCTGCATTGTTTGGGACAGTGCCAGGCTGCAGTGGGGTCTCTGTGATGCTGAGAGCAGGAAAGGGAGGGGGCAGAGGAACCCCTTGGGGGTTTCACATGGCCCCCCCCTTTCTTGGAACTGTCACCCCTCTGGTTGCCTCTCACTGCCCCATGTCAGACAGATGACATTTGCTTGGAGTAGGAGAGCTGCAATTAGGCTGACCTTGGACGATCCTACCAGCTGCTAAGGTCAAGGTTTCTTCCATTCCTTGGCTGAAAAAAAAAAAAGGAGCAGCTTACAGTACTGAGACCATACTGCCCGGAATCTGTTTCTTGGTTCCAGATCCTTTCTCTACGCCCCAAGGCTCTGTTCTCCTAACTGAGGCATTAGCAGCTTCGCTGGGGGCTCACCCGGGGAGCCCCAGTCACTGCTACTCTGTGGATCCTCTGGGGCAGGACCCTTGCTGCTCCTATGGCCCTGACACTGTCCCTCACCCCACCACTCCACCCCTTAGCCTCTGTTTATGTGGCAGGACGATCCCTAAACAACGCATCACAGGACTTCTCATCCTAAAGACATCATGGAGACCCACTGTTTCTGCAAGTACTTTCCAGAAAACAACCACTAGTAGGGCATGCAGATTTAAAATGTGTACTTGGGATGTCATGGGGGTTTGGGGAAAGTATGACTGAGCCAAGTTAAACAGGTTGTTTCCTGCAGGACATGGTATGTTCTGTAAACCTCGGAGAGTGTCAGGCGCAGTGTTTTCGATCGTATTTGATCTTTGCAGAGCATCTCTTAGCACCAGTGACCACAGAATGCAGCTGGAGGAGCGTACGTCTAGGCTGATTCGCACGTTTTCCTGATGCAAACACTGAACATCTAGGGGGTGAAACAGCTAGGGAGTGGTAGGTCAAGAATTAAAAGACCATCCGTGACTCTGTGACCTTTGCAAGAAGCTCCAAGTTCCCTGGGGAAAAGGACGCCTAGACTCCTATTTCCACCGTGATGGGGCCGTGCGTCCCGGACCTTCAGGCTCTGGAACACGGACTCCGACTTTGGTTGGCCTGCGCGTCTGTCCATCAGCAGAACTCCCGCCTCCCGCCCCTGAGCTCCTCCCAGAGCCCTGGTGAGCGCAGCCCTCGTCCGCTGGACCCTTTCCTTTCCAAGCATCAAGTCATCCCCTAAGGAAGGGTGAGAAAGTTCCCCTAATGATTCACCAGTTCTCCATGGGGGCCTGGCTGGACTCATTCTGCAGTAACTCCATAATTGGGGCGGTAGGAGAGAATCGGGGTGAAAAACAGAGAAGAGGAAATATGCTTTACCCTGAAAAGGAAAAATGGTCCTTCCAAGGTGGCAGTGTGATCCTGCAACATAAAAACACAAACCATTATGCAACCACGCTGTGCCGAAGGTCTTTCAAAGATGTCTATGGTAGTGGTTTTCAAGGTGTGGTCCCCAGACCCAAAACATCAACACCACCTGGGAACTTGTTAGAAATGCAAAAATCTCAGGTGCCCACTGAATCTCTGGGGTTGGGGCCCAGCCATCTGAATTTTAACAAGGTCCCAGGTGTTTATGGTGCACGGCCAACTTGGAGAAGCACAGATGCTGCACCCCTCCCCAAGTTTGCACAACTGGCCTGTGGGCCCCTGAGCCAGAAAGCAAACCTCCAGGGGCAGATGGCCCCAGGTGACGCATCTGTAAGAACGGAGATGAAATAGTGCCGTCCAAGGGCTCCATGATTCCTTTCTGCTCCAGGACAAGCCCAGGGAAATCCAAAATTAGATGCTCAGCCTCAGAGAATTTTAGGGCATAGTGTGAGACCAGTTCTTTGCAGAAGTGATCTAAAGGGGCTGCAAGGTGGCCCGGCTTCAAGCACTCCCCCGTCCTTCTGTCTTTGAGAAGTAAATCTTTTTGGCGGGGTGGTGCTTGCTCAGGGCTTACGTACCTTCTTGGTAAAATCCTCTTCAGCAGCCCCGGAATCCTGTGAAGAAATGAGGCCCAGGTTCATTTAAGAGGAAACTCATCCCCGAGGCTTGCAGTGTACTGTGATCCTGCCCCTCCCTGATTCCATTCTAAGGTAGCCGGAAGTCAGATGCAAAATGCCTTTCAAGAAAACAGCTAACCATGGAGCCAATCACAATTTTCTGTTCAGGAAGGCAAGTGTGTTTTCTTGGTCGGGTTACCCTTAGGGTCCAGGACAATGTTAAACTTGCTTGTTCTTCCCAATAGCCTCGACTTGAAATTGACTCCTGGTTTAGGCAGTTTTTCAAGGATATGGCATTTCAGCTTCCTCAGCTCATCTTTGCTTGTGGATCTGGCCCAATGATGGAGGCAGACTCAACCTGGAAGTCTGACACCAGTATCCAAGCAAACTGTGACCTGTGCTTAGGATGACCAATGGGTTTCTTAGGAAGTGAGCGATTTTCTGGGGTCTAGGCATTTTCAGAGCTAAACCCAGGAACAGGAACGTCCTGGGCAAACTGGAATGAGTCGTTCACCCTACTTGGACTCACAGTGTCCAAAAAATTGTGTTTGTTTCTTTGTTTTGCTACCACGCAACAAAAGCTTGATGGACATTTTGAACAGGTTCAGCTATTGTTGAAACTAGTCATTTCTAAACTTAAATTTTTTTAATTAAAATTTTTTTGTTTTTTTAATTTAATTTTATATTAGAGTATAGTTGACTTACAATGTTGTGTTAGTTTCAGAGCTTTTTTTTTAAGAAATGAAGTTCTGGGGCTTCCTTGGTGGCGCAGTGGTTGAGAATCCGCCTGCCGATGCAGGGGACACGGGTTCGTGCCCCGGTCTGGGAAGATCCCACATGCCGCAGAGCGTCTGGGCCCGTGAGCTGTGGCCGCTGAGCCTGCGCATCCGGAGCCTGTGCTCTGCAACGTGAGAGGCCATGGCAGTGTGAGGCCCGCGTACCGCAAAAAAAAAAAAAACAAAAAAAAGAAACGAAGCTCTGCCATAAGAATAAAAGGGCAGGTGGGACAATGGGAAGCAGAGTATATGATCAAGGCAAGTGTCCATGTCATGGGGAGGAAGAGGAAGGGGCAGGGAAAGTGAAAAAACAACACGAAAACTAAAATGGAAAAAGATGAAGAGCGCAGAGGAGGAGCCCATGGTCACGGAGCTGGACCACAGCCCCTCTCCCCCATTCCCTGCCCTGCAGCCACCGTGTGGAGCTTGTACAAGGAGAAAACACCAGTGAGCCCCAAGGGGACAACAGGCATTTACCATGGTTAAGTGAACTTTTAGTGGCATAAAAATATGGTGGAAGGAGAAAGTACATACGCGCTGCCGAAATCTTTTCATCCTTTGCTTGGCGAGCTTGGCAGCCAGATGCATTAGAGAGTGCACAGGAGGAAACTGCGGCAAAGAGGCGGTGAGGGTCAGACAGCACTGGTCCCAGGCCCAGGGCTATGTGAATTCCTGTCTGCTCACCCCCTTACAAATGGGTTTAATTTTCAGAGTAAAATCCATTTCCAAGCCTAAGCCTGAAATTTTATCATTTCAATAAAGAACCGCTTGCCTTGCTAGCACATTTCATTCCAACACATCACTCAAAACTATTCCCTTAGGGTAAAACAGACTTGGATCTGCATTAATCCCAAACATTCTGTCCTTCTAGTGTGGAGTGCATCGTCCCAAATAAGCATCTCCATGAAGATCCTCTCTGGCTCCCCACGTGTGCTCTCCTTATCTAAGGGATGAGGTGGAAGGGCAGCATGCATAACCACCACCCCCATGCATTTTATTTTCCTGTATGTCTCATCTGTGACTGCCTGCACACACTCAGACATACATACCCTGTCTTATCTAGTCCTGTGAATCCTCCCTGAGTATTAAAGCTCAGAGTAAAAGTTAATTCGTGTCACAGACACGGAGTTTACCCTTTCCCTTCCACTTTCTTTTCTTTTTCTTTTTTAGGCTAGAAAGAATTTTTTTTTGTTGAACTATATTTGATTTACAATGTTGTGTTAATTTCTGCTGTACAGCAAAGTGACAATTATACACATATATATATTCTTTTTTTCATATTCTTTTCCACTGTGGTTTATCACAGGATATTGAAAATAGTTCCCTGTGCTCTACAGTAGGACCTTGTTGTTTATCCATTCTATTAAATGTAATAGTTTGCATCTACCAACCCCAAACTCCCACTCCATTCTTCCCCCCTCCCCACACCCCTTGGCAACCACGAGTCTGTTCTCTATGTCTGTGAGTCAGCTTCTGTTTTGTAGATGGGTTCATTTGTGCCATATTTTAGACTCCACATATGAGTGATATCATACGGTATTTGTCTTTCTCTTTTCCCTTCCATTTTTGACCCTTCTCTACTTGCAGTGCCCATGGCCCATCTTGATACTATTCCCATCCTTACCTGATCCCCAGTACTAAATCTATAATCTATACTACTCTTGTGTCTTTGCCTCAAAGGGAAAAACATTTTGCTTGGTGCTTGTTTATTTCAAGGATCTTTCTGAAGCCCTGGAAAGCTTTGACTATATAAATAAGTGACTTTCTAATAGTAGAATTTCAATCACTGTGACTGGATTGATTCTATGACCTTCCCAATATTCTCTAAATCATACCCTGCAGAAATTCACTTCAACAATCTGTTCCTGAGGGTAACTCCAATTTATAATAAGAAAGTTAGAGGTGATGCTTTTTATTCCCACAGCCCATACACACTGTGACAGTGACGAAAGATGCACACCCACAGATCACTATTGAGAATGTGGCACTTCACACTTCACAAAGTGCTTTTCAGAATTTAAAACACAGAAGGTAAAATATGGAGCAATGTAAATAGAGCTCAGTCTTTACCAGCTTCTTGTATATCTGTTTAAATGCATAATAAAAAAGTTCTTTCTTACTAATTTTTCCTTTTCTGTAATTATTCTCTAGCTTTTCAGATCTGTCAACCTTCCCCAACCTCTTTCCCAGAGAGGGAGAGAGAGAATCCCTGCAGCCCCAGGAAAAAGCACCTAGAAAGCTATTACCCAGAGTTTCTGGAAGGCCCCTGCTTTTCTACTTTCCTGCATACATTAAATGGGAAAGGAGAAAGGCGTGCAGCGGAGACTGACTTTTACAGAGAGATGATTACGATAAAATACTGACCCCAGTTTTAACTGGATGCGTCGGCTTCTGAGTTCTGGAGTAATGAAATAAAAACTAAATAAGAGAAAAAAAGGTTGATTTTAATTCTAAGCGTCACTTGCTGTAAATGTGGTAGTTGCATGCTCTTGTTACTAGGCTGGTGGTACGCACCCTTTTGTATATGTCTTGATTATCCTGGAAAGAAAATGATGAGGGTAAGTCACATGGAATTTTACTGGGGCAGGTTTCCAGTAGAAGTTACACCGGGGACCTTCCTGATTTACCTGAATATTATAAAATAAATTGGCATTCTAAAAAGAAATCCATTATACAAACTTAATAAGACTATAGTTGATGCAGAATCTTGCCAAAAGGAAAGTTGCCAGCAATATCATTATTTTAAAACTTAATCTTATTTTACCTTTTCAGTCTTCGGGGGCAAAACATACTCCATGATGCATTGAAGCAATACCCTAATCAATACCCAGATAGCCATCTAACTAAGAAGTGGGATAAAATAACGATTGCAACTTTTAATTTGCTGCTGGGCATACCCTATAATTTAGTTTTCTTAGGGTTGGTTCACATTGACCAAATTTTTTCCCTAAAAGCTTTCTACATGTATCTTCACTGTTCTTGCAGAAAGTCCCGCTTTTAATTTCTAAATCCTTGTTAGAGCACCACCCCGTTCTGTCTGCATGGACGACAGCCCAGGAAAAGCTGTACTGGCAGCATTTCCTACTCAAAGAGGTACTGTGAATGATGTTGTAAATATCTGGTTACTATTGATCTCATCTCATGTACATCTAACCATTGTCGAATCAGCTCAAACTGCAATCAAGACAGAAATGAAAGTTGTTAGTAACATGTCTAATTTTGTTGCTGTGAGTACAACTTCCTACAAACTTTGTGGAGGGTTTCTGCAGTAACCAATACTTACATGTTCTCTCTTTCTCTCTTTGTTATGCGTGTACATGTACACACATGAATATGGGCACACACACACACACAGACGCACAAAATAATGAACCAAAATTACTCATAGCAGAGGCTCAGTGGACATTAACTTTCTGTTTCTTTATGATCACCATTTCTAAATCAGCAGAAAGTATTTACTATTTTTACAACTTCCGGTCTCTTTGTCAGCATCTGTTCACAGAAGTGTGTGTGTGTGTGTGTTTGTGTGTGTGTTCTGGACACCTACTGGGCAAATATTTTTGCCCAATAGGCAATATATTTTTGTTATCATGTTCATCAACTTTATACCATTACTTTTCAAGCCAAAAAAAAAAAAAACAAGGAATTTGAAGATGATTTTCCAGGTGATGAACACCAACTCTCAAGATTTCATTTGCACCTTCCTTGCTTTATTTTTTTTTCTTTTTAGAGAAAAAAAAATTTTTTTAATTTTATCTATCTATCTTGGAGACTATTTCCCCAACTAGAATATAAGTTCCATGACAGCAGGTAATTTGGTCTGTTTGGATCACTACTGTATCCCCACACGACATGTCATTTTATGTATATACGTGATTATGTATATGATATGTATATGTGATTATGATCTTATAAGAATGCAGATGAACTACCAATATATTCTGGTCATTTATATTTAGGAGATTCACTCTTTATTTCCTAAAACTGTATTCTCACACACACACACGTACACACAGAATTCTCCTGTAGGTAGCAAAAGAGTGTGCTTATTTACAGATATCAATTATGGTATAAGCAGGTGAACTGTTATAAATAAAAGAATTACCATATGTATATTAATTTTTTTACCTTAGGTTGTCTAGAAAGAGTTGCCCAATATGCCAGCCGCATATGAGGAAAATGAATCAAAGATAAGTACAAATTCCTTAATCAATAGAAGTAAAATTAAATTCTAAAGTTGCCTCATTTATGAACGTTGCATTATCTTCTGACACAGTGGCCATGAATTTCAACACAACTCCCAAGATGACTTAAATGAAGCCATGAAAATGAAAACAGTGAGTTTCTGCTGCAGCCAAGAATCTGATCTTAAAATAGTTTTAAGTGAACATTATCCACATGATAGTTTCAAGGCTAAGGCTAAATAAAAATCTCACATTACTGAACAGTGGTGTACCTCAAGCTTCGCAATATCCAAGCCATCTGGAGGATCAGCTAAAGGTCGAGGAAATCCTATTGTGAGAAATCATAAAAATCTCTATCAGGAGAAAAGAGGTTGTAGCGTTAACTTTCTAAAAAAATATGTATTTATTTATTGGCTGCATCGGGTCTTAGTTGCAGCACGTGGGCGCCTCTCTAGTTGTGGTGCGTGGGCTTAGTTGCCCTGCGGCAGGTGGGATCTTAGTTCCCCGACCAGGGATCAAGCCGGCGTCCCCTGCATTGCAAGATGGATTCTTAACCACTGGACCACCAGGAAAGTACAGCATTAACTTTTAAATCTTTACCATGAAGAGCACACAGCGATTCTATTAATACCATGTTGTTAAAAGGATTGTTAAAGAAAACACACTTCTACCTACCACTAGCAAATCTGAGATTTGTACCAAAGTTAATTAAAAATTGCATGGTTTTTTATTTACCAGGAGTTAGCAGCACAAGAGTTAGCAAGTTAGGAGAGAGGGAAAAAATTACCTAGTTAACAACTTAATTTGTATTTTTGAAATGGAGCAGAGCCCTATGGTCCTTGCCCCCTCATGTCCTCTTCCTGCCTTTTGTCTGTAGAAAAACTTTAGCCAAAAGATAAGTTTAATCCAAGAAGTGAGAAAATGCAGAAACAAAAGAAAACATCCCCAAAAGACTAAATAAAAATAGTTTAGTCAGTACGCAAAGTCAAGGACCTTTAGTTCCTTCTCAAGGGCTATAGATAATATTCTGAGCCATATCCTGTGAGCTGTCTTGTAGATACTAAAACCTCCATCAGGTGGAAGCAGTTAACTACACGATGACCAGACTGTAGCCATGACACAAGCTGCCACAATTCTGAGAACTGGCCTCAAGGAAATGGGAACAACCCAACCTGAGAACTGAAGATTAACTATACTTAAAACAGTCAAGATGATGCTGGTCAGACCACCACATGACCAATTTCAAGATTACCGTCAGAGCTGACTGTGCTGTTTCTGCAAGTAGCCCCCTCCCTCCATCTATAAAAGCTCTTGCCCACTGATTGTCGGTGGCGGGGGATGGCTGGGGAGTCGGCCTTTGGACAGGCCTTTGTCCACCCTCCCCGCTCTATTGCCAGCACCTGACATAAAGGAAGCTTTCCTTTCTACCAACCTTGCCTCTTTATTGGCTTTTGAGTGGCGAGCAGCTGGACCCCACTTTTGGTAATATTTTGATGGAATATATAAGGACAGGATATCAAGAGATGGTGTCAGTAAGTATGTGCATCAGAGTCACTCTTGGAACTTTTAAGAAATATGGATACCTGTCTCTCTGCTTCATCAGACTCTTCAGGAATAGGGATATGGGGAAGGTTGCTACTGGCATGCAGCTGAACCCCGTACCGGTCAACTTTTATCTGACCTAGATGAAGTCTTTATCTCATTTGCATGTAACACAACACTTGGAGGAAAAGCTAATACTGCAAGTGAAAGAATCAATGGGATATGTCAAAACTAAGAAGATGAAATTAAATGGGATAAATATAAGACCCTGAATTTAGATTTTAAAAATCTGAGACAGGGAATATCGGGCTCAAGAGTAGTATTTTTAAAAAAAATACTGAGTGATATATTGCTCCCTGCCGTCTCACTATAAGCCAAGAAAAAGCTGAGACAATCTTGTGCTGGATTCAAAGGATAGTGTCCCAACCTTGAAAGGTAATAGTCCTACTTGAAATGATAGGATTTGTTGTGAGTTAAAGGAACTGAGCACAGTTTTCTTTGGCAAAGGGAAAAATTAGGGAGTGTGTGTTAACTGCCATCAACTGTTTTGAGAACTGTCATAAGAAATATTAGTCTTGGGCTTCCCTGGTGGCGCAGTGGTTGAGAGTCCGCCTGCCGATGTAGGGGACACAGGTTCGTGCCCCGGTCCGGGAGGATCCCACATGCCGCGGAGTGGCTGGGCCTGTGAGCCATGGCCGCTGAGCCTGCGCGTCTGGAGCCTATGCTCCGCAATGGGAGAGGCCACAACAGTGAGAGGCCCGTGTACTGGAAAAAAAAAAAAGAAATATTAGTCTTATTCTGTATATCCCCAAAGGGCAGAACTAGGGCTAGTGGTTAGAAGTTGCATGTGATCAGATTTCAGCTCAGTGTAAAGAAGTTTGTGATGATTGGAGCTATTCAAAAATGAAAAGAAATTCAAACCAATCTTATAAGGAATTATTAAGAGGTGCTGTGCTAACAATACAATGATAAATACCATAGGGACCTTATCCTCAGGGAACAGAAAATTAAATCGGAAAAAGAGGGAGGTGGATATAAATATATAGACAGATAAATAAAAGGTAGTAAGAAATTTCCAAAACAAGTTTCTATTGGAAACCAGGGGAGGCAGCTACTGGCTGACTTTGGCTGGTAGTGAGTTGGGTGTCACTGAAAGTAATCAACTAGGGAAATCATAGAGGCGATCCCTGCTCTCCTGAGAGTTTAAACTAGATGACCTCCACGGTTCCTTGCAATGCCTAGGCTTTGTGATTACACTACAAGACATGGCAAAACAAGCATACTATTTCAAATATATTTTCTGTTTGAATATATTTTCAAAGATTTTCTACTCCCTGAAACCAAAATTCGAATGGAAAATTCTGTTTCCAACTGGAGCTTCCACCACATCCTGCATCATATAGCGAGTTACCTGGAGATGGGTAACAAATTTCGACTAGGGACCCCATACCCAACCCCTGTTCCCTACAGGGAACCCCTGTTCCGTACAAAAGAACTGGTTCTCAGAATTTGGTGGAGACACCCGCGTCCGGTCAGCACCTCGGACAGCGCCCAAGTCTTGGAAGACACGGGGCCTCAGCTGCGCTCCCTGGGCCTCTCCCCCCGCCCAACCCCCTCACCTTCCCCGCCAGGCCCACAGGAGAAGCTATAAGACTCCCTTTCCCTGTGCTCACTCCCACACCGCCCTTCTCCAACTGTTCCTCAATCCTCAGTCTTTGGCACTGTAAGCTCGTCTCTGCTCTCATCTCTTCAGAATTCCAAGAGCACAAATGGCAAACACGTTGGAGTCGTCCCCCGACTCATATCCCTCACAATTTCAGCGGCACATCTTGGGGCCAGCCCTGGGACAGGAGCTGTTTAAAGGCAGTTCCACAGGGGAAAGTAACCTCCTTTGGTAAAAGGCTGCGGCATCTAGCTCTGTCCATCCTCTCTGATGGAAGCCATTTCCAAAGGGTAGAAATGAGGGTAGGTGAGGGAACCAAGCTAGACTCCCTCCAGAAGTGCCCTGAAAGGTCAAGGTCTGCCCAGTCTTCCTTAGAGCTCAGGCCAGCTGGGGTCTGTTGAAGGGGACCCCTTACCTGAGGAGGGAATCTGTAGTAGGCAGAAGCAATAAATGGCCAAAATGGATGGGAATTGGGCAAGAAGATGTTTCATCTTCAAAGTACGGTTCCTCTTTGCTGACCACAGATGTGTTCTGCCGGGATAGGAGTTGAGCATTTCCCGGAGTTCCACAGGCAGAGACAACACTGCGTCTGGCCAGCCCAGTGGAGATGGTGCCTTTATTTGCAACGCCCTGAAGCCCATTGGCTGAGCACCAATCAGCTTTGCGCAGGAGGACTCAGCTTTTCTCATAAATGTCGTGCTGGGCCCTTATTTGTAGAATTATATCCTCCTGGTGTAGGCATGGTAGAGTCACCTTTTTCAACCCAGCAATAAAAATAAAAACTGGAGAGTCATAATTGTTATTCTATAGTGGTTTGAGAAACATTTTTTTGACTCAACAAAAGGCTTTTTTTCTTTTTTAAATCAAATCACTGGATATAAATCTGTAAACTCTTGGATGATTGAAGTCTTGTTTTATAAGAAGCTGTTTATTCTCCACCATTAACAAAGGATGTTTTATAGTCTTTGGTGCATCTGAGAACAAAAGTTGGAGTCCTGGATATAACATTAGAAGAAATTCAGAAGTTCAGTTAAGGTTTTTAAAAAATTAATTATGGTTAGGAATTACACTTCTTATGGTTTCTCCAGATTCATTTCTATGAACAAGTTAAATGTTTCAAATTTAATCAGTATTCAAGAAAATATGACAGTGTTTAATAGTAATAACAAAATTACTCCATCTACTGAGGTCCTATTTAGGATTTCACATAGGTTATTTCATGTAATTTTGCAGAAAACCTATAAGGAATGTATTTCTTTCCTAATTCTATGAATGGAGAAATTGAGGCTGGGAGAGATTAAGGAACTTGCCAGAGCCACCAAGCCATCAGGGATGCACAGAAGGGATTTGGACCCAAGGTCACTTCAGTAAGAGTGTGGGATTTTAGTTGATATGTTAATTTTTTCTAAAAAGAGCCTCCTTAAGATTGGATATGAGATAGAAAGAAGGAAAAAGAATGAAGTGAACTGTCTTGCAAAAAGTGTAACATATACAGCATATGCGAAATAGCTTTAGGATTTTTTCCACCGTGCATATCTTTAATTTTTGCCTTTAAGGATTAGGAGAATAATCCTGGAAGCTGCTCAGAATGGGCTATTTATTTATGACTTACAAAAAACACACACATAATAGCAAAGATTTGTGGCAGCTCTACAAAATGTTGATCAACAAGTACTTTTTGAACATCTGGTCTGTGTCTACCAGTGAACTAGGTGCTCTATACACAAACATACATTTTTCAAAGAAACCTATAGGATAACTGACTTGTATCAAATTTATTTTGTTTCCTTTGCATATTTTGCGCTCATTATTTCTCAGATATTCAGGATAAAAATATAAATTATTTTTAATAATAATTCAGAAATGGGAAAAGGAAAAACCAAGAAAAAAATCTGCATTGATACTATTCAACAACATTGGTATAGACTGAACTGTGCTGAAACCCTGACCCCCAATGTGACTGTATTTGGAAATAGAGCTTTTTTTTTTTTTTTGCAGCACGCGGGCCTCTCACTGTTGTGGCCTCTCCCGTTGCGGAGCACAGGTTCCAGATGCGCAGGCTCAGCGGCCATGGCTCAAGGGCCCAGCCACTCCGCGGCATGTGGGATCTTCCCAACCAGGCCACGAACCTGTGTCCCCTACATCGGCAGGTGGACTCTCAACCACTGTGCCACCAGGGAAGCCCAGAAATAGAGCTTTTAAGCCGGTAATTCAGGTTAAATGGCATAAGGATGGGGCCCTAAGCCAACAGGACTGATGTCTTTATAAGAAGAGGTAGAGACACCAGTTCTCCCCCACTCCCCCACTCCATGCACGCATAGAGAAAAGGCCAGAAGAGGACACAGCGAGAAGGTACTGCCTGCAAACAGAGGGGAGAGGTCTCACCAGAAACAATCTTACTGGGACCTTGATCTCAGACTTCCAGAATCCAAACTAGGAGAAAAGAAATTTCTGTTATTCAAGCCACCCAGCCTGTGGTCTTTTGTTATGACAGCCCAACCAGACTAACACAAACACAGGGATTCTTAGCTAATTCAATACAAAAAAAAAAAAAGAAATACAAAGTAAAAGGTGGACACTCTCATTGTTTAAAATGATACAATTATCTACCCCCCAAAATCCAAAGGAATCAACTGACAAATTATCAGAATGAACAAGAGTTACGAAACAGCCGGATTTAAAGAAAACAATTTTCAGGAATAATTTTCTTAGACACGAGCAAAAACAAATTAAAAATGTTTATTAGAAAATGTAAATAGCTTAAAAAACTATGAAATATTGAGAACTAAACCAAACGATAAATATGGACTATATTAAAAAATAAAAGTACAGAACTTTACCAAAGGACATAAAAGAATATGTGAATAAATGAAAAGGTACATCATGATCCTAGACAACATTCACTGTTGTTAAAGTTTCAGCTAATGGCAAATTCACCTATAAAGTCAGGATAATCCTTACTAAACTTCCAAAATGACTTTTCATAGAATTTTAAGACTGATTCTGAAATTAATTTGGGAGAGAAAATATTCTAGAATATGCAAGAAATTTCTTTAAAAAAGAATGATGCTTTGTTAATGTAAAAATGTACTATAAAGCAATAGTAATTATGTTGTAGTAGCCATTTTGTTATTGATCCACCAACAGGCAAATAGGTCAATGGAAAGGAACAGAGTCTCGAAGCAGACCAGTTTACTACAGAGTCAAGGTGGTATTTCAAATCAGTGCAAAAATAATGAACTACTCAATAAATCATGGTTAGGACAATTGGCTATCCATCTGGAAAAAATTCCCTATTTCACACTATACGTTAAAATAAATTCCAGAGGATTAATGAATTAAATCTAACACACACACACACACACGCACACACACACACACACACACACAGGCACAGGCACACACACTTATATAAAATGCTATATTAGGGAAAAAAAGAGAGTAAATAATTGACTGGAAATTGCTCTTGAGCAAAACCCAGAATAGGGAAGGCTCTACAGTGGAGCTGGATTTGTCCGGGATTTAAAAGACAAGTGGGGAGCGGTGGAAAGATGGCGGAGGAGTAAGACGCGGAGATCACCTTCCTCCCCACAAATACACCAGAAATACATCTACATGTGGAACAACTCCTACAGAACACCTACTGAATGCAGGCAGAAAACCTCAGACCTCCCAAAAGGCAAGAAACTCCCCACGTATCTGGGTAGGGCAAAAGGAAAAATTAATTTAAAACAGAGACAAAAGAATAGGGACGGGACCTGCACCAGTGGGAGGGAGCTGTGAAGGAGGAAAGGTTTCCACACACTAGAAGCCCCTTCGCGGGCGGAGACTGCGGGAGGCGGAGGGGGGAGCTTCGGAGCCACAGAGGACAGCGCAGCAACTGGGGTGCGGAGGGCAAAGCGGGGAGATTCCCGCACAGAGGACCGGGGCCGACCGGCGCTCACCAGCCCGAGAGGCTTGTCTGTTCATCCGCCGGGGCGGGCGGGGCTGCGAGCCGAGGCTCGGGTTTCGGTCGGAGCTCAGGGAGAGGACTGGGGTTGGCGGCTTGAACATAGCCCGAAGGGGTTAGTGCGCCACGGCTAGCCGGGAGGGAGTCCGGGGAAAAGGCTGCACCTGCTGAGGAGGCAAGAGACTTTTTCTT